AAACGAATCTCCCCGACATTAAATTTGATTGCTTTCTAATTTATTGCGGCATTAGCAGTTGACCCACAGACACAGAAACACGGGCAGCGGAAGTGGCAAGAGGACACAATTTTGTTCGCGAGCATTTTCCCTTTAGTAATTTCCCTAAGCTGGCGAGAATTGAATTGAATTTGCCGCCCAAACAATAATATTTGTTTGGAAAGCTCGCCCCAGCTTTGTGTGTCGGTCTGTGACGTAACCGAGCGAACTGGCTGGCCCTTTAAACCGATGGAGTGTGAAGTAAATAATACTCTTGTGCGCGTATCTTTCACTGGCCCGGAGAACGGAAGTATCTGGGCGATTGTTCACGTTTTATTAGATTACTTTTTAGTTGGTGAAAGTGCCCAAGTCTGCGGGTATCTTTTGAGATACTTCATAAGCTATGACACCGCGATATATTTTACATATTCAAAGATAGACGCTAATCCGTAGGCATTTCTTCACCTTAAATCACCTGAGTATCCCCCTCAAGTAGCTCATCCGTTTTAGGTCCTATTGTTCTCCCGGCCAACTCCTATTGATACCAGTCAACAACAACTATGGTTACAGCCATTCAGTTATGACCAAGTTAGCAGGGGTTTCGCTGTCTAAAGCCCCATGTAAGCACGTACATTTTTCTTGCTTTCGTTTTCGCCGCCGGATCTTTTACATAAATGTGGGGTTTGCAATGCAATGTTTTACCTTTGCATAATGTCGCGTTGATTGCTCCACGTTATACGTACAACTGCGACGGAATAGCATGTTACCTCTCTGTCTGCCACAGACAAAGTTTTCGCAGTCAGTTTTCGATTTGGCACAGTCCCCGTTCCCGCGCCGGGCGGTTTTGCATATTCAAATTGTGCCGAGCGACATTCGCAAATGCGTGGCACCTACAGAGAGATACCCACAAAAAATACAAAACACGTTACCCGAACTAGTGGCGCCGTCGACGAACGTGAGGTCAGAGGGCGGCGTAAGCCAGCACGCGCCACCAAGAAATGCCCTCTGATGGATCGTGGCTTCAGTTTCAGTTTGGGTTTCAGCGCGATTTGCCACTGCGATGTGCTATGTGCTCGTTTCAGCCCGTCTCGGAATCGTGCAACCGCGCGGCGTCGACTCGCGGAGTGAACTGAACAGAAACTGGAGTCGAAGCCAGCCAACTGACGGCAGCAGGCGGCTGTGAATCACTGGAGCCGGCAGAGGCTCTTTGTGCAACTCGGCAACTGTTGCAAGTTGCTGGAGTGTGGCCGGCAGCAACATCAACACATCCGCAGCAGCAGCGACATGGGTCGTTTGAATGACTCTGGCTAAAACTGTCAAAGAGTTTTAAGTCGAATCTTTGAATTTATAATAGTGAAACATATGACAAAAAAGAATCTGTTTTAGATCTGAGAGATGATTCAACTATGTAAGCTGTATGTTGATATATTCCTCTCAAAAAGTTCAATTAAAGTGTTATGACAACAAGTTCACTTTTCTAATTTAAACCTTTGAAGGGAGTTTTCCATTTGGCTTGCAGCTTAAAGCCTTGCTCATAGCATTTTGGCCGCCCTGACAGCCTTTGCTGTCGTTTGATGCTTGCAATTAATCCGCGCACAGGCTCCGGGCAGCAGCAATTCATGGCCATGTCCACGTACGTGCGCGTGTCCGTATCCATAACCATGGCGGTGGCGATAGGGCCAGTGAAACCCGAGCCCTTTCGGAGTCGCATGCACCTACACCGTACACCCTATACCATTGTTGCTGGCCAAATGTCCGGCATCCCACGACCATGTCGACTTTTTGTTCGCTGCTGCGCTTGAAAAACTTTTTACGCACATATGAGCACGCTTCCGTCCGTTGCAGCTGCTGCTGCTGCTGTTGTTGCTGCAACAACTGCTGCAGTTTGGCTCGCACAGCAGGCCAATCCAACTGGGCAAACAAGGATGTGGACTTAACTTTCGGCGAGGGCCGTACGAATGACTAGCTTTGAGGATGCTCGTGCTAATGGAATTTCAGATGAGCTGATGATGCTGGATGGGAACTGAAAGTTTCCAACTAAAAACCCCGAAAAGTTGTGGCTTTAAATAACCGCCGAGATACCTCATTGTTTGGGTTGAATAACCTTGACACTTTTATTTCAGTTTTCAGTTTGCTGCTCTGCACTTGTTTTGGCACATTTGTTTCTGGTGCGGCTAGTAATTAAATTTATTTCGCCCTCCTACAGTGAAGGTAAAGAGCCAAGTTCCAGACCAAGTCAATGACTGCTCACAATGCTCACAAGCCTGAGAGCCGGCGGTTTACGTATCTGTATCTGCCGGGTACATGTGTATCTCATCCACTCGAGCTATTTATTTGCTCTCATCGATTCGGGCAGGTGCCTACATAAATCACGCCCTGCGAGTCCGTTTGTTTGGCCCATTAATTATGCCAATAACTGATGATCCAAGTTGTTAATTGGAATAACTGCATTTGTTTGTGGTTTTTAACCCGCTAATGAGTCCATCAAAAAGGTAATCCATTGGCTGTGGAACTAATGCTTTGGACGATATAATTATTTTTATCACATTAAATTGTATGTTCATACTCGCATAACCGTTAAAATCGCACTCATTATGTCGCCGATTTTCCACGCCCAGGGCTTTCCCACCACCTGCCTCAATTTCCACGCGTTGCATGCGGCAATGACGTTAGATAAACATTTCCCTACCCGCATAATTAAAAAGTTCTTGTAATTATTTTAATGCAAGCGGGTATGAAAACCATTTTCTACATTTCTGTCCCATATGCTGAGCATAAAGAGCATTTCTGAATCTCTTTATTAAATTTAAAAAGCTGCACATTCTTAAATTTTTGCAAGCAGAGAGAACGGAATGAATATTCGATTGCTTGGAATTTCAAACATGCTTCACGATTTTTCTCTTTTCTGATGGCCCGGAGCACAGCTTTTGCCTGCAATTGTCAGGCAAGTCCGCATAATACATCCAAAAGTATGCAAAATGCAAGGAGAAGGAACTCTGTTCAGAAATAAAATAGTTTTTCCTTTAATCCTTCAATAGAACAGTGAATAGGGAAAGTTTCTGAGGCGGAAAACGTGTTTATCTTGAAACTTTTTACTTACTGCAAACAAAAGCTACGCTGTTTTGATATTCATACTGACAGTGTCGATAATTGTTGATTCTGCAAAGTGCGCTCGAAGTATTTCGTAATATAAAACTTATTTAAGTCACATAGTGATTAAACAAATAATATTATTTGAAGGTACTAAATGTTGCTGATAGCAGGATTTTGAGTTAAGGGAGCTTCTTATGGGTTTATCTGTCCTTTGAAAATAAAGTGGAAACCTATGATAAGACGTCACTTCACAACGGCATTGAACTCTGTCGGCGACTCCTCAACGAGGCTTTGTCATTATTTGTTGCTAAAAACACACACTGTTTAATCAGCTAGAGACACCACAATTAGCCAACTCGTGTTGCATGCTTCACCGCCATATTTTAATTTGGGGTTTCCACTGCCACGGTTGAGCAACCCAACGAGTGTGGTATGTGGTATGCAAAGCATTAGGGCGTCTGGGAGTATTAATTAATTTACCTCAGCCAAAGCACGAAGGAAAGTCATTGACTTTAAGCTACGAAGGCAGGTGTGCTGGCGATCCGAGTCGCATGCTGCCACAGTTTATGAGCTTGCACATCTGCTTGAAAGTGAAATTAGTTCACAAAACATTAATCATAAGAGATTATCGTAATGAGTTCGTAATTCCCTTATGTCAACATGTAATGAATTCAAATGATAGAAAGATAAATATGAGCATAATTCGGATTCCCTTACACTGTTAAAATGTACGCCAAGCGAATTATACGAAAATGGAATTATTATAAATTGTAGGTAGGTCTGGGAAACGTTAGGTATTGTCTCTTAATAACCTAAGAATAAGGATTTAAATTTATGATTTACAATATTTTAGACAATTTCAATTGATTAGTATTCCTACAGATTTCTTGATACCTCTGTTTAATTAATAAAGCCCAAGGGAGTTATTGGTAATTCATTTTAAAATGTTACAATGTTTTTAAATGATTGAGAAAAAGAGGTCTAGTTGTCTTGACTTAATAAATGGAAAGAAAGACTCGACTTACCTAATTTAATTTATTTTTGCTATAATTGTTATCTAGAGAAGGTACCGTGACAAAGCAATATATACCTATAGATTATATTACTTTGGCTCGGCAATAACAACTGTATATTTGCAAAACATGACAATTTACGAGAATATTAGCAAGTCCCATTCTGGACCTGCGAGTATTCCCTGATTACCTCCGACAAGATAGCACTACCTTACATGGCATCTGCCAGTGAACACTGTTCATCAGCTAGACTAGGCAAATTATCGCTTTGTAGTCATGATAACAGCAATAACGAAGGGGATGCCATTTGAGCCAAGAGTTCCAAAAGTATTCCTAACAGTGATGTGATACTACCGTACGGTTGCCGATCTTCCCAGATTAAAATATAAACAAATAAAAGAACGTTTGTTGTTAAACAAACTGTGGGTGCTATCTCTTATCATTATTTTGTTTTGCCGCCAACTTTCAGTTGTTCCTCATATAATTCCACTCATTTTCATATCAAGGTTTGGACTTTATTTATAACATATTTATGTGTGATTATTCTGAACTTTCAATCGGAATTTATTATTTATATTATATATAGTAGGTATTCGATTATTTTATCTCGTATCTTTAATATTCAGTTCGGAGACGGACTGAACGTCAATAAATTTGTATTCTAGACCTACAATTCTAATCTTTAGTCACATATTTGTATTCACGCTCTGAATAATAAGTGTTATCACAGTAAATTGCTTTTAAACAAAACAATAGATAAGGGGTCCGGCAATACGACATAGTTCTCCTCAAGTAACAAATATCAAAACTCAAGAACCCTTCCATTTGGTTTGGCAAATGTTACGTAATATACTAATACAACAATATAATCATTTATTAGGATCTAAGAAATCAAAACATCACATTTATTATACATGAAACCAGTAGCACAGGGACCACAACACTTATCCTGCTTAACATAATCTCAGATATTTACAATGGCATACAGGCACTGTCTCTAAACACGCTCCAACCGCAAGTAGATGCCTCCAACTGTTCCCAATACAAAGGACATGGGATTGTATTTCAGAGGGATCTCTGTCTGGTCGCAGACGGAGAGTTTGAACCTGCTGATGATCTGGGCCAGACCGATGCGGGCCTGCATTTGTCCGAAGCGCATTCCGATGCAGTTCCTGGGACCGTCGCCGAAGGGCAACCACTCGACGGAGTCGCGGGCGGACACCTTCTCTGGAGTGAACCGGTCCGGGTCGAAGCGCATGGGATCCGGGTAGAGATTCTCGTCCCGGTGGAAGGCACAGGCGGGAATCAGGACCTGGGTGCCCTTCTCGATTACAAACTTGGGATTGCCAGGCACCACATAGTCGTTAAGGGCCTTCCGTTCCAAGTGAGGCACCAAGGTGTATAGCCTCAGAGTTTCTGTAAGGCGATATGGGGGGGGGGATGATTAAGAAATAGCCCTGGGGTGCGTGTCACTACAACCAACCTGAGATGACCTGGTCCAGATAACGCATGGCTTTGATGGACTCGTAGGTGAACTGCCCGTTGTGCTCTTCGAGGACAGTTTCGATCTCGTTCCTCAACCTGTCCTGAATGTCCTGATTCTGAGCCAACTCATACAGGCAGTAGCTCATGGTGGAGGAGGAGGTCTCGAAGCCTGCCACGTAGAAGACAAATACCTGGGCGGCTAGCTCGCCAATGTTCATTCCCTCGACGACCTCTCCGTTGTCTAGGGTGACTTTGCCCTTCTGCTTCAGCTCGATGAGAAGATTCATGAAGTCGTTCCTCTTGAAGTTCTCCCGCTCCCGCAGGGCGATAGTGTCGTTTACCAAGCGCATGAAGAACTGGTGGACGTCCTCGGGGAAAATTCGCATCCTTAGTTTTTTGGCCATCTCGGGGAAGCTAAATATGAACATCGTGAGCAGGGGACCGTGACGCAGATCGGTGAACACCTTCTGGCCCATGGTGCGGAAATCGGTGACGGGGCGTGCGCAGCGTGTTGCACTCGATGCCAAAGGCGCAGGTGCCGATCACGTCGGTGGTGAATCTGGCCATCATCTCCTTGATCTCTATAACAGCCCCGTTCGGGGTCGCGGGTACTTGCTCCAACATCACCGTGGCGAACTCCTCGGAGACCTTGATCACGGTGGGAAACATGTACTTCATCTTGCCGGAGGTGAAGGTGGGAGACAACTTTTGGCGCATGTCCTTCCACTTCTTGCCGTCAATGTTAAACAGATGCTGGGTGAGCGGATCGTCTCTTTCGTTATGGAACTGACCGCGGTCGGCAAAGTTCGAGAAGTCCTTGATCAAGATATTTTTGGCCAGCTTGGGATCCACAATAAAGGCTGCCGGCTTGTGCAGAAAGTAGAAACCGACGAAAGGGTTGCCGCTCTTCCGGTACTTGTTGTAGTAATCGCACATAATGTCGTGCACTATCCGGTTCTTCCTGAATCCGAGCAGGTTGCCATAAAACGGATGCGGGGCATCGTGGGCCACGCCCTGGCGCTTCCAGTAGCTGAAGTTGCGGTGGAAAAGATACGCCAGCAGCGAGGCAACCGCGATCACTAGGTAAATAACCACAAACATTCTGAGTTTTCTACGGATGGCCCGTCGTTCGCATGCGTTCCGCTCGACCCGTGAATATTCTCTGATTTCACCTCGACAAGTTCGCGCACCTTTTATAGGATCTGCCAGCGTCAAGCGTTTGTCAAACATCAGCGTGACTAGGCGCATTATCGGTTCGCAGTCATGATTACAGAGCCGGCGATAACGCCACCCTGCGTAGCATGGCAAAATTCTAAAAGCACCTCATAACAATGATACGATTCCACCCTCCGCATGGTGCTTCACTGTACGATCGTGCTCAGATTAAAGTATAAACAAATGATAGAACGTTTGTTGTTAAACAAACCGGTTGTGGTGGGCCTCTCTCTATATAAGTTAGCTCATACGCAGCGGGATGTATTATCAATTATTAAATGAAAATGTTGTGGAGAGCCATATTATCAAGACTTTCTTGTAAGATACATTATGATAAGATCTTGAATTTTAATATTAATAAACTAAAATTAAATATTCCATTTAATTTAATTTAAATTAGAAAATAATAAAAAAATTTAACTTTAAAAATCACTTATATTTGATGTGACTTCGTCTTAACTCTCACTGAATTCAGTTGGTATTTAGAGTATTTTCAAACGTGTTTAACAAGTTTTTTTTTCTATTTTCAATCGGGTTAAATTATCTAAATATGTACATGCTAGAACCGACCCATATCTAAACCCCAAATCCCCTCACAAACCTATTATTACCGACCTTCCCGGTGACGCTTCCGAAAATCAATCAACTATTTAATTCCTTAATTGTCGGTCATCTTTCCAGTTGAACACAATATATATTTTATGATTATTATCTAAGGGTTATCACTTAGGTTTAATGAACAAAATCATAAGGCTCATGCACTATATTATGAAAAGATCTTACGAGCTATTTTTGTAAATCAGGTTTTGTCTTAAAGTCAACCATACCAAAATAGTATACGTTCTAAATAGGTAACGCCATTGGATTTTTTTTAAACTTGAAATTGACTAGCTCCAGACTGGCTTAGTGATCCGAACGGCTATATTCTAGGGGTCACCAAATTTCTCCGGCCGGCCTCTGCAGTAACATATATGGTATACATAGTTTCAACGTTGGTGTGGCTTCGAAGAGATCTTCGTGATCAAAACTTTTTGCAAACGTAAAATTCGTCTCCGGTTCAAAGGCTATGGGAGTTAAGAACCTTAAAGTCCCCTAGCTAAAATTCACTTAAAGGAATTCCAGGGGGAAACAAATGGTTTGTACATAAATATTATTGCTTACAGAAAATAACTGTCAGATGCTGCAAGTTTGCTATAATTTATACTAACAAAGAGCCACCAAATAAAGTGCCTATTACAATCGTAGTCTAGGTTGTGATAAGGGAAACGAAAGGAGCTGCCGCCGAAAACAAAAGTATTATAACCTGAGTTTTGAGCTCCTCACCCTACAACCCTGTGTGTTCTGTGTGCTCTTAACGCCCTGATTACGTTTACGGCTAACCACTCGCCGAGTCGCGGCCCGAAGGGATATAAGCCGATTAGGATGTGCATTTGCCTCGCGTAATCTTCCATCCTGTCGGAGAAGGGGAATGGGAACTGTAACGCGATTACGGCGGATTTCTTTGCTCCGATTGGAGGAGAAGCAAGCGGAAGCGGAAGCGGATGCGCCGCAGGAGGCGATGTTGACCTTGTGCATCACTTATCACAAGTTGCTGGAATTATTGGCGTTGTCTTAGAGCGGGAAAGGGTCCTTGTCCGGGAGTGTCCTTGGCTGTCATTGTCTGTTACGGTGAGTGCTTCAGTGGCTTAAGCGAGTATGTGCATCTGACACTTGTACGTAAACTGTCTCAATATTTTCCCCAGGAGCTGGAGCCGGAGCCAGTGCGGCAAAGTGGCATGAAAAAGTGAGCTGTGCATTTCGTTTTTTCCACTGTGTTCAAGATTGAAGTCCTCCTCGCAGCTTGACCTTGGGAAACTCAACCTCGGCCCACATGTGTCACAATATTTTATATGGTCGTGCAGCTAGGGCATTGAGGGAAACAAAAAGTAACGCGAAACGAGGCGTTCTTGGCATAATGAAGCTCACAAAAAGAAACAAGAGACGCGCCGAAGAGCCGGCCAGAAAAAACTAGATTGCCTCCCCTGACTGCACTTATGCGCTAAATAAAATGCAAATCTAAATGCAGCTAAAGAGCAGAAAAGGGCCCGAAGAAGCCAGCCAAGAAGCAAACACAAAGAAAACCCCACGCCGTCGTCGCGCACAATGCAGATTCTTCAAGAATGCTCTCGAGGGCTCTCTAAGCCGACATCCGACTGCTGCTGCTGCTGCTTCTGCTGAATCTGCCGTGATTGTTGTCTCCGGGGAGACAGCTCGGCTAATTACAGATGCTGCTGCATCTGGGAGATTTCGTGTAAACAGTCGGCTAATTGTTTGCCCTGCCGAGGTGTTGGGCCCCGCAGACAGCTCTTTCAAATGCAAATGCCTCTGTCTCTGGGGCGGGGGAATCCCCCGAAACTCTGCGTACCCGGTCCCCTCTAGTGCTGGGAGTGCGTGTGCCTTGAATAAATTAGTTTTATTTGTGTCTGGATGTCGAGCAATCTAAACAAATCGTGGGCCCAGAGACGGGCTTGTGCATTTCCTGTAAGGCGACAAAACGATGTCGCGTCTGTACATTATGTAAATCGCAATAAGAAGCTAGAATACACTGTGACAAAATACATAGTGTGATGCAAAAGCATACTCAATAAATAAATAATTATTAATATTAGGAATAAGTATTAAATATAGAACTTATTTATGTTTAATATTAAACATATTCTCCTCAATTAATATTGTGTTCAATATTTTTTTAGTAATATGTTTTTATGTTATATATTTTTAAGGGTTTTAAAAACCCTCATGATTTTTTTAGCATTCTATATACATATACAGACTTTTTCAGCAAAAACTAGCTTTCCTTAACTTTTCTGAGTGCATATAAAGAGGGATTGAAGCAAAGTGGAAAAGTCAAGGTAGGGGGAAAATCTTGTATATCAACAGAAGAACACACAACCAACATGTGGGAGAAGATTTCCTCCAGCTTCCTGCTCCAAAGAGCAAGACCCTTCTCCATTATTGTCATAACATCGATGATAACATTATAATAAGCTCCGCGTGGGAGCCTCTAACCCAAAAGACCTTCTTAGTGCAATTAAAGCCGCCCAAGGGAGCTGATATAATTAGCTGCCAGAATTCTGTTCCCTCACAGAATGACAATTGCGATTCCTCTGGCGGGATTTTTCAATCACAATCAGGCGCTGGCAGCAGCAGCAGCAGCAGCAGGATGATGGCTGATTGAATTTCTGGCCTGACATATGCGAGCCGTGATTGTCTGTGGCAGCTGCCTCCCTTAAGATACAATATGGATTCGAGGCTGATTGTGTGCCAAGGGTTTTGTCTCAGCAGCAGAGTCTTCGATGGAAGCCGTAAAAAGGGCTCTGGCGAGATGCACCGACAAGTGCTGGGTCAATGTGTCGCTGTCGCCGACACAAATTGTCACTTCGCCCGGTGGCCAAGTTGCGAATCTTTGATTTATGTTGTTGCAGCAGCAGCCGCATCTAGGACAGCAACTGGAGCGGATCGACAGAAGCAGTGCCTTTTCTTTTACGAGAGGCGATAAAACGCTCCCTGGCAAATGCCTCCGAATATGTTTGCTGATGGCACCACGTGGCGTATACGCACTTTAAACCGAAATTGCCTTTTGTGCCGCGTATAGCAGGAGCAGGAGCTGGAGCAGATTTAGCTACCTAACAAGCCGGGCTCGGGACGGAGCTGCGGAGCTCTGAGCAAATAAATGACAAAGCCATTTGTAATGAAATATTAAAGCCGGCAATAAAAAAGAAAGGCTATGCGAAGGGGGCGGCAGCCACAGCGGGAAATGGGCCGGAAAACATCAGCATAATACTTATTCATTATGCTGCTGGTCTAGGCGTAGGCGTATTCGCATTCCCATTCCCATTCCCATTCCCGGTCCGTGGGCGTAGAAGCTGGGCAACCCGGAGCGTTAACACACATTTTATTGGACACACAGCACATAAACATGATGCGGCACGGGCATTAGGAACGGGGCAGGCACATGGCCAGGGCAGGAGAAAATCGATACACATATGACCGACCATATATGCAGCCTGGAGTTGCGGCCAAGTCCGTAGAGTTGGCACAGGTGGCAAACATAAATGGATTAAATCATATGTATCAGAAATCAATTATTCAAATGAAGCCGAACTCATTCGGCGAACGCAGTTTCCACTCGAGCGAAGACAAACAAAGTTTGTGCTCCATGCGAGACTAATTGTTTCCAGCTGCCACTTTTGGCAAGACTGGTTTTGGCCCACATCAGCAAACATATAGTAAAAATAACTAGATTCCTGCGATGACAGCAGCAAATCACGATTGCCCTTTACGGGCATGTCGAGAAATAAAGCTCCGAGTACGATTGCCAACGTAAAGTAAAACCTTTTGAAGTTGTCACTGCTGTGGCGGGGTGGGTTTGCCTTTTACTGGCGGCAACAGACTCCCCCGAACCACAGCCCCCGCCAGTCTCCGCCAGCCAAGAGCTCGCCCCTTTTCCAGCCACCGAAATGTAAATTGGGCAAAACGCATGCCGAGCAAACTTTTTCCTGGCTGGGAGCCGGGCCAACAAAAAAGTCGAAAGAATATTGTTTAACTCAATTCGGCACGCGAATCTGAACCCAGCCCGATTTGTTGATAAAAAGTAAAAGTATAAAACCGAAAAGGCAACGTCACAAGGTCGAAAGTCGACTCTCCACCCACCCAACGGCAATCAAATTGAAAATTCTTCATTGTGCAAATATTGATTTTGCTCGCTGCATAAAGTTTTATGCTCCGAAAGAGAGCGATCCCAGGCCAGCCGGGGAAAGTGTGCTTTTCTAATTTCCACTGCGATAAGCAGAAAGTTGCCAGCGATTTCTCACTGAATTTCCAGCACTGAACTGCGACTGCCACAAGTGTCGGCGGCGGCAAGGTCGAATCAAGTCTAATTTTCCCCACCGACAGA